CTGACTCCAAATTTTTCTGAGTCAGACACTCATCCCATAACTCAAGCAAAGGTAACCAATTGTCAACGACACTCTTTAAGGAATTGGCTAGGACGTCCATCGTTTTGGACACAGAACTTGAAACCCCGGTGTATCAGGAGCAAGCTCTTTCTTGTTTTTTTCAAAAAGTGTCACGTTTGGGTGAGTACTTCAGCAGCTTGGATATCTCATTAGTTGTGTCAAGAGCATCAGACATTATTCTTATTTGCTTAACAGTATCACAAACTGCAAGCTGCAAGGAATGGCCATAACAATGGACTAAAATAGCACGAGGCTCCTCCTTTTGGACTAAAGTTGCGACACCACTTCGTGCACCAATCATATTGCTAGCACCATCAAAACATTGTGCACGACAGTTTTGTATATTAATGTTCAAACGGAGTAAAACATCTTTCAATGAGGAAAAAAGTGTACTTGCAGTGATGTCATCAACTTGATAAAAACCAACCAAATCTTTATTAACAGCAAATGATATGCTATCAACCCACCGTAGACAAATAACAAACTGCTCATGATTGGATGAGTCAGTCACTTCATCTGCCATAAGTGCATAGTGAGTATTATTATGCACAGATTGAGATATTCTACGAAGAATGCTATGGGCCATCAGACGCAAAATTTCATTTTGAATTTCTCCTGATATGTATTTTTCACGTTCCTTTGCTAACCATGACTGTAAGGCAGGCTCTGTTTCACTTAAAAGTTTCAGCAATTGAATAAAGTTACCCTCATTACTGCTGTGACCTCTAAGTGCCAAACCTTGTCGAGCAAGGAATCTAATCGACCGAATTATTGCAAACAGATTTTTACGATTACTTTGTCTTTCTTTAATCAAACTTTTTTGAAACATTTCTGAGATATCTACACATTGCTGAGGAAGAAGGTGAATTTCAACAGCTTCTTTATGGCAATCAGTACTCTCGTGCTTTCTAAAACTAGCAGTAGCATTTTTCCAGTTTGTGTAACCTCGACTGATAAAAGAAACTTCAGACTTTGATGACTTAAGCTGTTGAGTTTCTGCTGCTCTCATACAATACCAGCAAAATACACTGTCATTTGACTCATTATAGTGAAGCCAGGGAAACTGCTTAGTCCATGAGCTTTGAAAAGAACAGTTAGCACCTCCAAATTTTCTTTTAGGAAAATTATAATCACCAGATGGATGATTGGGTGCTTCTGCAGCTGGAATTACCTCTACCTCTGAAGTTTCACTAGTAGTAAGA